TGTTTAAGAGTTTGAGAACAAGATCTCAAGTTCGGGGAAGGGTGAGGGTCACCACTTTGTAAGTGGTAGTTTGCAAATAGCCCAAACAGCGCCCCGGATGAGGTTTAAGAAGAGTTAGCCTACTGAAATATTGCACGAAACTTTGACATTTTCTTTAGTATTGTTTTCGGCTCACCCGAATTAGGGAATGAATTGGGCAAAGGACCGATAATTTTTCGCACTAGATCAAGTTAGCACTTGTTTCTTGAGAAGCACAGTAATTGGTACAGTCCAAGCCAATTTGTCATCACTTCATACTACTAAGAACAAATGAAATTTGTTCTGTGTTAGAGGATTTTTTCAATCCACTTTGAAAAGCTGTCTTTGGATTTGTTCTCTCCCAAACTGAACCCAAGTAGGCTCTCTAAAATTGTAAAGCGTTCAGTTGTAGTAAAAGCGATAAAGCTGCAAGCATAATTCTATTTGGCGTGCAATTAAGTCCACAATCATTTTAATTCCATTCGTTTAAACAAATTTAGACTTATTTAAATAGCAAAGATCTTTCATTTGGAAAAACTGAATTATATATATTCTTTTACACGTTTAATGACGTCTAGAAACGTATTATTATTGTAAATGAAAATCATTTTAAATCTTGATCGCAGCAAGAGTCTATATTTAAAAAAGAAGGCATTCATCGAATATAGTGCGCTTTTAATTTGCTTTTATAGAAGACATTTGTTTGTGATTAAGAAAAGAAACGACAATGTAATTTTGATGTGAAAATGTGATATTACTGTCGAGTGGCCTTATACGCTTTGGTGCATTTAATAGGCCTAGATTGTCTTTTTGCTGCATTTTGACGCAGTGCAGTTGAGGGCCCCCTTTTAATTTTTTTTTTCGTACGATGCTTATTATAAAGGCTCTTTGGGTCCCACTTTATATTAAGTGGCATTAACTACTATGTACTTACATAAAAAAAATAAGTGCAGTGTACTTATTGTGTTCATATTATTGCAAAACACTTTTGCTGCTATTGAGGTGGGATATGGGTAAGGTTAGGGACAGGTTTGGTGGTATGGGTAGGTTTAAGAGTGGGTTAAGGGATGGGTCAACAGTGTAATTATAAATGTAATTACAGAAATTAATGTGGTTTTAATTTCTATGTACAATGTAAAAACATGTATGTACACAACAAGTGCATTGTACCAAATGATTCATTTAAATGTAAGTACATAGTTAAGGCCACTAAATATAAAGTGTATATAGTGTGTTATTAGTAGGTGAGTTTGTATGTAATATAAAAAATATAGAAAACAATATTCCCAAAAATGACTGCTTTTTGGTTTTCTGCTCTCCGACACATTGAGGGGAGCGACGAGCGACTCTAAGCCCAACCTTTGCCTTGCACTTGCTCGCTAAAGTTTGGTGATGCCACGCTGAACTGTATATTTTTACATGAGACCAAATTTATCAGAAGTGCGGACCTGCATGGAAAGCAAACAAGTCAAATAAAACTGTTGATACGAACGGCGTTGTGTGTCCTTCACTGGGAATAAATGCGATCAAATACACAGGCCAAAAAGTAATGTTAAAACACTTTCATAGCACGCTTTTGTCTGATTCAGTTAATCTTTTGACTTGAAATAATAATCTAAAATATGCCTAGGCTATTAATTAGGGAAAAGGCAGGTTTAATAAATTAATGTCATTGATACTACAACATTAATTTATTAAACCCGCCTTGATTTTAGTTTACTAAATTTTTTTAAGATATACTTTGCGTCTGTAAACAAAAGGGTACAATCAAACCTTTAATTACAATTTATACAAATTTTGTGTGCACTAAAGAGTTATATAAAATCTTGAGTGATATAAAATGAGTATAAACTCAGACTCTGCACGAGATGTCCTTCAAAATGGAGACTGAATTGATAAACATTCTAGTTATTTCTGCGGTAGGCCTGCAGTAATTACAAAAGTAATTAGAGACGAGCACCTTGTTGAAATGTTGCTTCTCGTATGAGAAATGGAGGAAAATAGCAATGGGTTTGTTGTCGTTGTTGCTTGTTATAGCGGTAAAGTAAGGAGACAATGAAAGCATATTACTGTTTCATATCTCTCTTAATTTGTGTTCAGGGTTCATCCTATATATTTGTTTTATATCAAAAATAGTCTAATGTATCTTTCATATCCGAAAGCATATCAACATCACATGTTTCATTTTACTGACAAGTTCAAGTTTATCATATGTAGCAATACACTCAAAAATAGGCTACACAAAGTAGGCTATCTAAATGTAATTTACACAGACCGTCAACAAGACGGAGAACCGCTGGTTTAATCAAATGTTATTTCTTTTAGTGCCTTTGGGTGGCAGCACAGTCCAAATTGAAATGCTTATTGATCTGAAACGCAAACTGTGAATCCCGTCCATGTAGACTTGTGCTTCTCTCCACACTTTCCGTCCGCTCAGACGTTTTTCGAGACCATAGCTCATTGGCTGCCTTCAGATCCCACACACAGAGAGTCTGTGAGCGTTTATTTGAGACTATTCCTAATGCAAATTCCCTCTAAATGTATATGTTTTGTTATTTTATGCATTTGTAGAATAGTATAGAATAGAACCGAGTCAACGGGCAATTGTTAATGAAACAGTAACGATTAAAATGTATCATTTGATTTGAAATGCACTTGTATCAGTTGATGAAAAGTAAAAAAAAACAACGTAGGCTATAGTACAAACAAATAACTGTTGATATCGTTTTTTTATTTTATTTAATTTTTTTAGATTAAAAATGTTGTCTTAATTGATTTCGAAAATGCAAAAATAAAACGCCAAGTAACAATCTGGATTATTTATTAGGATTGCATTTAATTTCTGGTGCGAGTATTTATTGTATTCTTGGTTATAACTAAAAACCGATGTCTAAGTGGCATCGGGTTTGGATTTAACTTGAGCAATTGGTATATGTACACCTAGAGTATGCATTCGAAAATGCATTTGTTGGGTAAGTAAACTATAATAAATTATAATACTATTCCAAAGTTTCTAAACAAATAATATATAGCCTAAATAAATATATTAATTTGAAACTGCCACTAACCTATTTTCCTTCACACATTTTATAGGAATGAATTTATCCGTTTTCTGTTTTTTGTAAAGGTAAAGTTTTTGTTTCTTTCTGTTATTGTTTTTGTTACTGTTATTGCCATTTTGTTATTTGGTTGTCTCTAATTTTTGTGTAGTTGATTTCAACAAGACGTTTTGATGTTAGGCTATTTACATAGGCTATTGACATGATTTCTGTTTGTTTGTTCATTCGTTTGTTTTAAATTAGGGTGTAGCTACTATAAATGTTTATTATTTGAAATTATAGAAGTAAAAGGTTGAAACCTTATTTTGTATTTTTGTTTCGGAAAGACATGGCACAACATGGCAATTACATAGCAAAACAACAGACCGAGAGCATCAGCCTCTAAAAGCTAAATATGGAGTCTGTTTTAGCTGCATTTAGGTCGTGGATAAATTAAGCATGGTGTAAAGAAGATCCTTCACGGAAAAGAAAATAAATAGCCTACCACTAATATCGGACTGTAGCTTTCCTCTGCCTTCCACTCACCTCTTTCTCGTTCGAATTTTTATTTTTGACTAGCCTATATGATTCATATTCAAGTAGGTTCATTTACATGGCAAAATAAATAAAAAGCACACAAAACACCGTGATTTTTTTTATCCCTACTTTACCTGCTTTTTGAATCCGATCCTCAAGTTGTCGTTGTATCAGATGACTGAAAATAGGCTACGGAAAACTGATTATTACACAAACTTTTAAGTGCTTTGCTATTTATTAACGCAAACACATACATCTCGGATTCGTATAGATTGCAGATGTTTTTCCTTAAATACTTCTATGAGGAACAATGACCCAACTGCGGGAAGTCAAGGCAAATACATACACTCTTAAAAATAAAGGTGCTTCAAAAGGTTCTTCAAGCGATGCCATAGAAGAACCATTTTTGGTTCCACAAAGAACCATTCAGTCAAAGGTTCTTTAAAGAACCATCTCTTTCTTACCTTTTTATAATCTGAAGAACCTTCTTTCGCCACAAAGAACCTTTTGTCAAACAGAAAGGTTCTTCAGATGTTAAAGGTTCTTTATGGAACCATTTAGACAGAAAGGTGGCAGGGTTCCTCAAATCTTACCCTGGAGGGCCAATGCGCTGCAGAGTTTAGCTCCAACCCTGATCAAACTCAGCTACCTGTGATTTTCTAATGATCCTGAAGACACTGATTAGTATACTCCGGTGTGTTTGATTAGGGTTAGAGCTAAACTCTGCAGGAAAGTGGATCTCGTGGGCCAGATTTGAGGATCCCTGTTCTATGGCATCGTGAAGCACCTTTATTTTTAAGAGTATATATGTGCCACTAGATGGCAGCACCGTTACGCTCAAGAAAAAGGGTTCTTGTAGAATACTTCTCATCTGTGATTTGGCTCAACACAATATTGCAGCCATTATTCACTCATTCTTAGCAGCTGGTAGCCTATCGTTCTATTTAACTCATTCTTTTCTGTAAATTGAATTCAATCAAAACATTAAAAAGAAATTGATCATTTGCGATGAACATTTGTATTGTTTATGTATTTGTGTTCAATATTTGGGCAGAATGTTGACATTCGTAATAATTACAAAGATACAAATATGGAAATAGCCTAGCCTACATCACTTAATATGGGGAGTTTTATTTGCATACTTTCTGCAGTAACACATGAATGAATTTGTACTATATTTCGCAGGTGCACTGGAAGCGACTTTATATTTACAAACGTGCGTATGGGGTAAAAAGAAAAGAAAAGGGCAAAACAGAAACTGTCACGGCTTGGGGTAAATTCAGTGTACAATTAGCATAGCATGCAAATCCACAGTCTAAAAAGGTACATTTGTTTTTTGATGTGTAAATATAAAATAATACACGAATTGCCATGGTTTTGTCTGTTTACTTCACTGTTTTTTTGTTGTTGAAAAAATTCAATTTACATTGCTCCCACGTCTGTCAAATAGGGCCTACATTAAAGATTAAAAAGAATGAAGTGGTGAACATGGGTACACAGTTCTTGAGCAGTGTCTTCGCCTTTTATTAGTGTCAGTGTCTTGGCAATATGTAGTAACACAGGGATGCAAAATACACATTTTCCCTCCTGCGCATCTCCGCATAGTTTCTTGACGCGGAACAGATGATGGAATGGATTTCAGAATAAATAATGTTGAAGGTCCTTCCATTTACACCCCTTTGGTATTTCAGTTTTTCATTCTTTCAGACCCTAACTGATGCCCTTGTACTTGTTGACCACTTTCTTCTCTTTCACCCGCCTGTTTTGAAACCAGATGGTCACTTGTCGCTCGGTCAGGTTTGTGTGAGCAGATATCCTTCTTCGTTTGTCCTTAGTAATGAATTTATTTGTGGCATATTCTCGTTCTAGGTCCTTCAATTGAACCTTGGTGTAGGGAACCCGCTTCTTTCTCCCTCGACGCACTGAGGCTCCATCGGTACCCGACACAGTGTCTAGGGGTCAGATCAAAACCAAAAGAAGGTTGGTTGCAAATGCGTAATTAGTAAGTAAAAAAAATAGATGTTCATGTCAGAAATGTCAAATAATAAACCAGAAAATAAAAACACAATGACATGTCTTTAAAGCAGTATACAAACGTCGAGTAAAATATTAACATAAAAACTATTTGCAATCTTGAGAAGTAGTGAGAATACAAAATGCACGGCGTAATGTCACTTTAAATGATTATATAATCTTGCTATTAGGCCTAAAGATCAATTTTATGTTCACTTCGATTTTTACTTAAATTCATAGTGCGTGGGATATTTTTTTCCCCCAGATATTAAAGCAGATTTTGTTTTTTTATTACCTTGAATAGACGATTTCCATAAGGTGTTTGAGTGCGTTTGATCTTTCGGGCAGTACACCGGACTGCTCCATCCGTTCGTGATTGCCCAGGGCTGGTACGTTTCAACCGGCAGAAGAGACTCGTGTCTGGGTTCCGCATGGGTGCTAAGCGCAGGTACGACTGGCACGTCAAGATAACTCGGTACAGGCTGGTAAGGGCCAGACGGGTAACCCTGGTAGAAAGCAAATTCCTTAGCACGAGAAGGGAACTCCTCTCCAGAAACAGACGTGTCCATGTATTTTTCCCCATAGGAGGTGGGCTGCGTGCAGGACTTGGGCATCCTACACTGGTAGTAACTACCACCAAAATATCCATAGGGCAAAGAAGCACTGGGAGAATTCTGTACGGCTGAACACGGACTGCATTGTTTGACAGGCTCCCCCATGCCCGATCCTGGCACCTCACTCGACGTGTAGGTTGTGCTCGGGGCCAAAGAAGACGGGTGGGCAATAAGGTTCCTGCTCTGGCTAGCAGCGAAATTGCCTCCCACAAATCCTTCCATGTTTTTGCTCATATCATCCAAGCCGTTGTCATAGACAAACATCACCGGGTCAATCCAGCGGGAATGGAGGAGTAAAGACGCTGTCATAGCACGCCCTACATGGAGCCTACCAGCTCTTTTAGAATTCCCCAAGACTGAAAGGGAAGCAGTGGATCAGAGGAGTAACAGATACCCATGCGTCCCGTGTGCGTCAAGATCCAACTATTATTGGACGAGCGGAGGCACGTGATATGCAAAGAGGCTGATAAACGTCTAAACTGGAGATAACGCCGATCTACCAAGACAAACATACTGCACTGAACTGAAACAAAGTGGAGGGATTTGGTCAAAAATTGCTATAAAGATTCTGGCGATAAGCTTTATGCTTAAGTGGAAACCAAGTGCCATTCCATTTGCGCAAAGGGACTAGTATTACGCACCTTCCTATATAGGTAGCCTATAGCCTTTATCTGTAAGATCATTGAACATTCGTAAATATCATATTCTTATATACTATTAAAAACAATTAACAGTAATAAAAAAGCTAACGCGGGCTGCTTGACATTTTTTTTAATCTGGTGGCGTTTCAAACTTACCTTACATCATAGTCGCATGCTGATTTTTTGGGAAAAGCGTTGTTTTTTATTGTCTTCCAAGTCATTTGATGATGTGAAAATTAAATAAGGAACCAAAAAGTCTTAAAGTGGCTATTTTCTTTGTGTGTTTTTTACTCTACACAATTTTGCACAGCTACAGTGAGCCGCCTCTGTAATACAAATGACCATTTCGAGCCCATTAAATTGTCAAATAACAAATCACACTTTATGAAAATGACCACCAGTTTATTACTCTATACGTCTAGAAATCCAGCCCACGATTTGGCAAGACTCGTTTAACATATGAGTTACACAGGGCTGGAGGCCAAGGTCAAGGTGAAAGTTGCAGTCCAGCCAGGGCCCTTGTTGTCACTGAAGGCTGGACAGTCTGGCAGGAAATCTCTGGGTTCATTGTAAGCAGGAGCACAAAGGTATTGCTTGTGATGCCACAGATTCAGCATGAACGTCTTTTGATCAGTATTTTCATTACAGCTTTGGTTATCTGATGCGTTGGCACAGAGGTCTGGCATTGCTGGAGTTATAGCTAGAAGCTAAAGATACCTAATATTGAGACTGCATTATTTGTATAATAATAAACGTTAGGCTATTTAAAGATAGCCTAAATATTCTTATCTAGTAGGAGTGTATTTAGTGTGCTTGTATAAAAATGTAATAGGATGCATTAAAAAATAATTACATTTATTTCAATCTTATTTCAAGTCAGTTTTATTGTTCTGAAAGTAGCACACGGGATGAGCGCCTATGAGTAGCATATACGAGGATATCATAGCTCACACCATGACATACATGGTCAAAAAATGCTCATTTCTAATGAAATACAGCCTAATCACTCCAAACACAAAATGTGTACGTTTCATATTGCAGTTAAATGAATAATTCTCCTTCGTTTTGGAATGATTCTTTAACACAGACAATAATATTTCGACCAATATCTGAGAAACACCGCGTCCCTTATCTATAGCTCACAAACTGCCACTTTAATGTTGAATAATATCAGCCACTTAAGATAGATGAGATATATTTAATATTTCAAATAATAGGTTCATTCAAAATCACGTTTGTTATTATTATTATTATTATTATTATTATTATATGCACACACCGAGGAATGATAAACTAATAAACTACAGTGCTGTTCAAGAATCATGTCATTTTTAGTTTAAAGCCGTTTGTAGGCTATAGGCTCACTATCCAGCGGAGTATGCACAGGAAATAAGCTCGCTGGTGGCGTGCAAACACGGCCATGTTAGGCGCCAAGTCCCTATTTGATCTTTTTAAGGTTTCTTGAGCTATTAACGTTCAGCGTTGTTCGACCCTCTCACAACAGCCGAGCTGTGTAAAACACGAAGTCAGCATGTGAACCGACGGATGCCAGAATTGTTGGTGCACCATCCAGAAGATCCAATGCATTTTTAAATTGATCTCGAAGATAAAAGAGGCGCCCGTTCATAGGCTACTTCATTCCTCAACATTCAAAATCAACCGTTTCCTCAAGATTTGACTAAAACCGTCGTGCTGTTTTTAGACTACTACTTTAGCCCTTAAGCCCCTCTTGTGAGCAGGCCAAATGTGGACCATTTAATATAGGTATGCTATTTTACATTTACAAATTCACAGAGCATATTAATGGTGATGTTAAGGATAATTCAGATAAATATGTGGATAGCAAAACAATTTTTTGTAAATGTGTCTGTAATTTGAATGGACTGAAATAAGACTTTATGTAGCCTAACGGTTTCAACCACCAACAAAAAAAGGTACAGCGAAGCTTGGCTCTAATAACCTCTCAAAAACAGAGCAAAGGACTGGAACTGAGTGAAATGCATAGAGTTCATTCAATTTCAGGTTCAGATTCAGGCAGTTTTACTCATCTTGTTTTCCACATACACTCACGAAAACCAATGAAGAGAAAGTTGTAGGGGCTGCTGTGGGCTATGTAGGCTCATAGAAGTAAATATTTGAGAGGCACGAAGCCTTGAGACCCTATTTTGTGCATTACGTTAGAAGATTGCACAGTAGGCTTTAGATGCACTTCATTTCAGACACATACTTGATATTGCGGACATGTAGCCTGCTTTTGTTTGCAAATGTAAATAAAATTGTAGTTTGAAACTACTATGGTTATAATTACTTTCCAATTGATTTATTCGTTTGACGCTGTTTGACACAGTTTTGGGTAAACATCTTTTAAAATGTTCAGAAATTTACATATATAAATGTTCATATATATATATATATATATATATATTCTGAACGGCATTGGTCTTGAGGAATGCTTATGAACAGAGCACATATAATAGCCTATTAATATCAATAATTATTAAAAATCTTTGTAATGCACGAAAAATCGAATTAATTCAGTAATCTAATAGGCTTTTGAGAACAATGTATATATCGCCTTCACCCTATGCTTACACAATTCAAATGAAATCATATTGAAATAGGCTATGTCTCCTTTCTGACATTATTCGCAGATATAGGCCTAAATAGTTGAAAATGAATTTGGAGTACTACGTTTTTCTGGAGGTTATTGTTGCATTGGAATAAAACTGTATTAACAGAAATGCAGATGTTTCATAAATGTCACAACTTCGATGGTTTAAAGCAGAAACGCGATGTCCAGTATTTATTAGTTATTAGTTATTGTGGAATCATTGCTCCGTTTACTCTCAGTGCTGCTCAAATATCTCCAACCACCTTTATTATGCAACCATGAATGAAATGTTAACCCCAACCATTAAAAAGAGAATATATATATATATATATTTATAATCTATTTAGTCTGTTTTACCTATAAGCAAAGATCGCATTACCTTAGTTAATGTTTTAATAAAATGTGGAAGAAATAGTTTTATTGGCACATCATGATTCATAGTCCAAACATTTGTCATAGGCATAACTCTCTTTCTCTGAAACCAAACAGTTTGACTGAAAGACTATTTTGCTGTTATGTGTGTTATATATGAACATTGCAGCGAAAAGCGAAGACTAAATATTTTTGATTTTACTCTTTTAATGTCCAGGCTATTATAAGATACAATTAAATTCCACTGACGTAAATATTAATTAGGCTTATCCTAAATAAAACGTTTTTGTAGACAAAGTGTTGGAAAAGTGATCAATGAAAGAACTTTCTAACAGACATTTTTGAAACATTTTTCTTTTTAAACAAAAGTTTGGTCCCCGTTTTTTAGTCCCAGTCTCAGTCTCTGGTCTCAGTACTCAATTAACAAGTACAATTATTTCTATAAATGATTTTTAATTAAAGCATGTGTGAAAATAATAAAATAAGCTTGTTTGGATAAATATAAATGCAACGAGTGGGATCGATGGTCCCATAGTTATTTAGAATAAACACCGGACTTCTCAGCTAAATATCTGTATCGTGTTTCTATTTTCTGAGTTATCAAACCTGTCTGTTCTGGGAATCCAGAGGTCTCAGATGGCATGCTGTATTTCAAGTAGTTAAACCTAACAGCCACATTACACCATACTCAAAATCCAAGTAGTAGGACACATATCCTATTTCGACCACACCTGGTGCTCGTGTCAAGGTCCAAACAATTAAATAAAACATTAAACTTACTGTTCTTATTTCTGTCAAATGAAAAATCAAATCAAACAATTCATTAAATAGAATTTGAGAGAGTTAACTCGTAGATCACGGAGCAAGACGCAGCAACAGATTGACTTTGAATAGGATGTCTTGTCTATTTTAGCAATTGATCATTTCAGAAATAATTACCTGGAAGAAATTACAATATAATTACAATTACATAAAGAATGCGCAAACTTAACGATGTTCAATTACGCAGAGATCACACAGATGTAACATATAAGAGTTCCCATCTGTTGGATAGTTTTAGAAACTAGAATACACAGAATAAAAATGACAATTAAGGTAAATTTTTCGGTCTAGAAAATCTTTACCTCTGAGAAAAGATTTTTTCTCAATGACCAGAGGGACCAGAGAACGTGATGCTTTAAATGGGTGAAACCGGAATGGGATTCCGGGTTTTGGGCTGTCTGAAGTCTAACTACCCCATGGTCCTCTGTTTGTAAGACCTGCCAACTAGATAACAACACAGCACTTAGGCCTCCATGCTTAATGGACTTTTTATGGCTTTGTCCTGTGATCATGTGACCTCTAGCATTATGGCCTCTCTGTGGCTCTTTGGTGAGTAGATCAGAAACATACCGCTGACTGCTTTTTCCCTCGTTTTGGAAACCAGGTGAGCAAAAGTGAGTGTGACAAGAAGAGGCGAAAGACAATGAGAGAAGATGAAGGAGCAATGCAAAGTTCTGAGGGGAGAATTCGGGGGAAAGGAAAATAGAGAGAAAGTGAGAAGTGAAGGTCATGAAGACAAACCTGATCACGTTCCTCACAATATGTATCTTGACTGTATCATTAGCTTCATGGAACTGTGACCTAAGCAAGCTGGGGCACCCAAACAGAGGAAATTACATATTTATGATTGCTTGAATATCATTTTTAAAGGGTTCCTGATCTTGAAATATCTGTTAGCATCTTCTCACCCTCATGCCATTCCAAACGAGTATGCATTTCTTCTTTAGAATACAAAAGATGATATGTGACCCTGGACCACAAAATATGATTTGCCGCTACATTACAATTTTACCCATGTATTTCAAAGCTTTAAAAGGGATAGTTCACCCAAATTACCCCATGATTTACTAACCCTCAAGCCAGCCTAAGTGTATATGACTTTCTTCTTTCAGATGAATCCAATAAGACATGTGACCCTGGACCACAAAACCAATCATAAGGGTCAATTTTTTGAAATTGAGATTTGTACAACATCTGAAAGCTGAATAAATAAACTTTCCATTGATGTATGGTTTGTTAGGATAGGACAATATTTGGCAGAGATACAACTATTTGGAATCTGAGGGCGCCAATAAATGAAAATATTGAGAAAATCGCCTTTAAAGTTGTCCAAATGAAGTTCTTAACAATGCATATTACTAAGTTTTGATATATTTACGGTAGGAAATTTACAAAATAGCTTCATGGAACATGATCTTTATTTAATATTCTAATTTTTGGCATAAAAGAAAAATTGATAATTTTGACCCATACAATGTATTTTGGGTTATTGCTACAAATATACCCATGCAACTTAAGACTGGTTCTGTGGTCCAGGGTCACATATTTTGTGTTTTTTGTCCATTCAATTAAAGTCATTGGGGTCTAATGTTGTTTTGATCCACATCGACTTGCATTGTACAGATAAAAAAAACACTTTCTACAAAAGATCTTTTGTGTTCTACAAGAAAAAAACGGTTTGGACAACATAAGAGTAAATAATGACAGAATTATTATTTGTGGGCGAATTATCCCCTCCCATCTAACAATGAGAACATGAAACTAAAATATAATTTCCTTGATGTGTAAAAGATTTGTAGATGACTCACGTTTATTGTGCATGTTACATGCCACTGAACTCAAGGTGAGGCTTCATAAAGAAGCATCAAAAAACATTCCACTGTGTGACCTTGGAAAGAGGGAGGAGACCAGGTAAAAATATGTGCCGTGTTGCATCATTAACTGGTTAACCGCATTCATCATGATTACCTATAGGATTGTAAACCTGGCTTAGTACCCTGACAATACCACTTCATTTTCCAGGATTATGTACAATTGAATAACAAAGGTTATATAAACGTGTATCAATACGCACATTTGATGTCCTAACATCAAAGATACAGATATTTCCGGCTTTAATTTCCAGGTGTTTAATCATACATGAATACAACATGTAGATCCAACATCATTAACAGCAAATTTGACTCAACAGATACATGAAGAACACAAAAATTAAAATTGTACATTTGAAAAGAAATGGAGTGTAACGGCTGATCTGAGTCTTGCGTGTTTGTGGTTGGTGAGAATGAAATTATACATTTATAATCTTTAGTTAGCCTGCAGAACACCAACGAAGGCAAGAAAAAAAAAATCAGAACAAACATTAAATTCACAGCATCTTATCAACTGATTGGTGGATTACCAATTGTACATGAGTGGGCCCACAAAAGTAACATGATTACAACAGAAACTCAGTCTCAAATGCTACACACACTAACAAAATAAACACACATCTTTCCCACTATCATCCAATCTACATATGTATTCATTCACTCTCTCACTCATGTATCGCTCCCAGCACATGCATGCCAATGAAATCACATATTTGGGTCAAATTTTTGCATGTCAGGTCGTGTGAAAGGCAGGCAGTGCTGGGTAAGGCTGCAGAAGGGGCAGAGTGTTGCCTTCTACTGGCCCTCCTCTTCTCGAAGGAACTGGAAGACAGATGAGAAGTCTTTGCTGGCGTAGCCGCGTGCGCACATCATACGGTAAATCTGATGGGCCAGAGAGCCCAACGGCACTGGTGTCTTTGTGTTAGTTGCTGTATTCTGAGCAAGTCCCAGATCCTGAGGATAAATTGCAGTAAATGTCATTAAGAGATATGCATAACTGCAAATTTGAAAAATTACTGCATTTTTGCATAAAAAAAAAAAAGAAAAAAAAAAAGGCTAGTTCGAACAGAATAGAGGGGCTCGAGGCAATTTTAAAGTAGACCATTACAAACGTAACATGCAGTTTTAAAACCCCCCCACAATGTTTAACAACAGTGGAAAATGTGACTATAGCATGATTGTGTAGGAATGTATCAGTGGTAGCAGTACATAATAAATGTTTATTGAGCAGGAAATCAGCATATTCAAATTTCAGCTTTGCCATCACAGGAAAATATATTCACATTGTAAAAAAAATAAAAAAGATAAACATTACCACCATTTTTGAGATTTCTCAAACATCACTCTTTATTCCAAATGTTTGACCACCAGTATAAAAAGTGGGAAAATAGACTAGACTTCACTAATCAACTATTTAGGTTATTAGTTTACCATTGTGTTAGTAATTTATTCCTAATCTATATAACATGCTTCTATAATAATTATAATAATGGCCTAGAGGAAGACCATGGTAGAAACAAATGTAAAGACGACAAAGCACACCTTGGCCATTAGTGTAGTTCCGAAGCCACCCTGGTAGTTGTTTGCTGAGGGCACTCCCTCCATCACTCCCGGGACAGGGTTGTATGTGTCACTCGACCAGCAGCGGCCAGAGCTCATGTTCAAGATCTTTGCCAGAAGTTTCGGGTCAAGCCCTAATCTGTAGAAAAAGTAAATGTAACAAGACAGTTGTATCATTTAATCATCTGTATCATAGTTTTTGCTGAAAATTTACTTAACCTAGGCCATCTAAGATGTAGATGAGTTTGTTTCTTCATCAGAACAGATTTGGAAAAATGTACTCGTATTTTGGCTAGAAGTGACAGTTTAGAGTTAAAACGCCTTAATAATGGACTTGTTTCTTACAAACACGCAGCTTTTCACTTTACAAGACATTCATTTATGGACTAGCGTCATGCGGATTACTTGTGAATTATTGTGATGTTTTTATTAATTGTTTGGACTCATTCTGACGGCACCCATTGGGGAGCAAGTGATGCTACATTTCTCCAAATCTCTTCTGATGAGAAAAACTAATCTACATCTTAGATGGCCTGAGGGCGAGTAACTCTTTTAGCAAATTTTCATAGTTGGGTGAACTGCTTCTTTAAGTAATTCAACTGTGCCCTGCACCTGATTCCCAAATTCATGGTCTCCGCTGTTCCAATCATCCCAATGGCCAACAGCATATTGTTGCAGATTTTAGCTGCCTACAAAAAAGGAATAGAGAGATTATGACCAGAAATAAATCAGAACCTTTCTAAGAATGGCACTATATTCTTAAAGACATCCTATTTATACCTGTCCGGTGCCAACTTGGCCACAGTACACCACATTAGCACCCATACAGCTCAGAAGCTCCTTGGCTGCATTGAACTCCTCCTCTGGCCCACCAACCATAAAGGTGAGCTTACCTGAAGTGGAAGCACCAACACCTGAGAGAAATATAGAAAATGATGCAGATCATACTGTACATATCTAAAATACACAGTGCCTTGCGAAAGTATTCATACCCTATTCATTTATTCACATTTTATGCTGCTGCCTTATGTTAAACTGCTTTAAATTACTTTTTTCCAAATAAATCTACACTCCATACTGACAAAGCAAAAACAGAATTGTCACAACTTTGTAAATTTATTAAAAATAAAACTGAAATAAGTACATTGCGTAAGTATTCATACCCTTAACTAAATATTTCGCTGAAGCACTTTTACAGTCTCAAGTCTTTTTTTGTTTGATGCGACAAGCTTTGATCATCACCATTTGGCAATTATCCGCCATTCTTCTCCTCACCTCTTCACCGCTCAAGCTCTGTTAGGTTGGATGGGAGAAAATGCACATTTTCAAGTTTCTCCAGAATTATTTGACTGGGTTCAAGCTCATGCTCTGGCTGGGCCACTCAAGGACATTCACAGAGTTGTCTATAAGCCACTCTTGCTGTGTGCTTAGGGTCATTGTCCTGTTGGAACTTGGAAGGTGAACCTTCTGCCCAGTCTGAGGTTCTGAATGCTCTGGACTGGGTTTTCATTAAGGCTAACTCAATATTTTGGTGCACTGAGCTTATCTTCTACTCTGACGAGTCCCTCAGTCCCTGCCACTGGCTAGGAACTATACTCTCATTCCGGCGTAATAATCAGGCCCTGCGTAATATCATTGCACCATGGTACGGCAAGAAAAGTTCTTTGATTATTACGCCGGAATGAGAGCATAGTTCCTAGCCATATCAGCCTAGAAAATCACAACTTTTCATTTTCCGTCGGTCTTGGTACACTATATAACTACAGAAGAGTCACGTTTGGGCATTTTTGAGCGAGATGCTAACGGTCTAATCAGATTCAATGATCTATGCTAAGCTACAGCTAAAAGTGCTGCCGCCAGACCCGGAGATCGGCTGAATGGATTCGAAAAGGTAAAACTCAACTGTTTAACTCTAAGGGAGTTGAAAAATTAGCCTATTTTCAAAAATAGTGGAGTGTTCCTTTAAACTGACATAGAAGTTCAAGTTCCACAGAAGACCTCTGTAACA